ACTCTGGGCAGGAAGTATCGCCACCTGTACCAAAATTCTCAATATGGTCACCATTTGTGAGAGAACCAATAAGACCGCATACGAGGCAATGCTAAACCGAGAAGCTTATCTCTCCAGACTCTTCCCATTCGGATCTAGGTTTTTTGTGCATCAGCACAGGCCTGGAATGAAATGTTGCAGAAAACGCAACCACAGAGCACCTCTGGACAGATTCGAATTCATCGTAACTACATTACTGTGTGAATAAATCAGCATGATCATTTTCAACTTCTATCAAACACTCAAGATCGAAAGCACGTGTTATCATTTCGCGTGTTTCGTCAACCTTTGTTCCATCCCACCGAATCCCGAATCAAACCTCGGAACAGGTTATGCGCCCAGGACGTTGGTGAATCTCTGTGTGGTTGCGGAGCGAGTAGAGAACACGGTTTTTTTTCGATTACGTGCGGGAGAGTTCTGGAGTGTGTCGAACACACGTGGTGACGGAATCCCGGTAGCATCTGATTTGAAGAGTTCCGCTGGAGAACGTTCGGACATTCAAGGATCAGGCCATGGATAAACTCCAGGTTACCAAGTTAGATGGTAACAAGGATTCTTTTGAGTGGAAGATTCAGGTGCAGTCATTTCTTGAGGCAGGCGGCTGGTTCGGTACGATAAACGGCAAGTTTCCGGAACCAGGACCCAAATTGATGGAGTGGATTAAGATAGAAGCCAAGGCGAAGGCAGTTATACTGAACTCTCTGGAGACTCCAGTTGTTAGTTCTATCATGTCGCTCATGTTCGTCGCAGACACATGGGAACAGCTCATGACGCCTTATGAGTCCCGCTCCAAGTTGTCAATCAGTCTTCTCCTCCATTCCTACAGAATGACCGAGGGCATGAACATGGCCACGCACATCGCCAACGTGGAGTCGATGGCTCAGAGGTTAGGCGATCTGGGGAGGCCCGTGAATGAGACTGAAGTCATCACTAAGCTCCTGAAGTTGCCGAAGCGTAATAGGCATCTCATTTCCGCTTGGGATAACATGGATGAATCCAAGCAGACTCGACTCAAGCTGATTCCCCGTTTGTTGAAGGAAGAGAAACTAGAGCTCGGCTAGTCAAGCTCCTTGTCTACTCCGAGTGGTGAGTCTGTGGCATTCTACGCAGGACTCAAGTCGGGAGATCATCAACAGAAGTCAAGAAAGACCGTCGTCAAATGTCACTACTGCGAGGAGGACGGACACGAGAGAAGTCGTTGCTGGAAGCTTCAGCGAGACAAGAAAGCTCAGGCTCAACAGGGAGGTCTATCGGGCCGTCCCGATAATAATCATCATCATACGGGTTCATACATGGCATCGGAGTCTGACGACCAGGGGCGTGCCCAGGATTTCGTCTTGGGGGGGGCCAACATTCATCCCGGGGTTCGTCGATCTCGACTTCGCCGTGAACCGAAGACAAATGAAGAGACCGTTCGTAGGCACCATTCATGTTTATATGATATGATAAGGAAGGTAGCTAGCTTAGCTTATCGATTATATTACAAGAGTCGGAGGCGGCTTGATGCCGCTCCTTGCTAAAAGTTTCATCCTTTGACTTCACTCAGGACACAATTTGAGGAGGTATGAGGTGTTATCATTCGATTTAGATGTTAGGAAGTTATGAGATGAGTCATGAGTTGGGCAAACTCTTGCTTCTGTCTCATCCCCGCTCCTCGCAATGAGCGACAACGACGATCTTTCGGATTGAGCGATGGCCATCGCCTATAGAACAATGTCTAACCTTCTCGGATCCTGGGCGATTAAATCGACAACTTCGTCGACACTAACCGGTACATCGCGCTGCAGAGTCATCGAAGCCAATCCATTGAGTCGTTCATGCCCCATCGTAGATCGAAGATAAGTTTTGAGCAGCTTCAGGGAGCTGAAGGTTCTCTCGGGTGTTGATGTCGTCACGGGGAATGTGGCAAATATCTGGAGGAGGGTCGCGATCTTCGGATATTCGATCCTTGGACAAAGCTGAGTGCTTCGATTGCGGTTTCTGGAAGCTCGTTCCCAGCCTTCCTGCCCCACTTCGCCTTCCAGCATTCAAACTCCCCTCTGAGAACGCTGGCACTGCAGTCTAAGTCGGTCTGATAGAAGTCCAGCGTTTCAATGAGATCGGCGAAAGTGCTACTGACGGTATACTTCGGTACAAGGCATTGGACTTTCATTGCCTTTTGCCGAGAATCGGCGAACAGCGAACGAAGCTCCTGGATCAAATGGTCAAGATACTGAACGTACATAGTCACCCGGAA